AAATACACCCTTCTCGTTCTATAGCTCCCCCTGGTACACTCTCTGATTCGCACATTAGCAAACTTGTTAAGAACTCAAGTACCATTGGAGTACCGTGAAGTGCCCCACTTCTTTTCTCGAATCACTGTACGTGCTTGGGGAATAAAGATTTTTCGATACTTTCCGCTTCGATATACCTATGTGTGTTGGTTAACCTGATTCTCTTTTTTCTTCTTCATTCTTTTCCATAGGACTTTTGCTACGTTTCTACTGTTTAGCTGATACCGCAAGGTGCTACGATTCCTATGGATCAGACTTTTAATTTGTGAGGGGTTAACTTGGGTATATCCACGGCCTTCACCAGTCCGTCCGAGTATTCCGAATATTCTGTTATCTCTGGGAAATATCGCCTGGTCTAGCGTTCCAGAGATATTTCATGAGCACCCTTGGATGGGGGCGGATGACGTCATTTCTACATTGGGGTGGGTCGCACATCGCTCATAAATGTCAACGACAGTCACGTGTTCTGACTAGCGACACTATTGACTATCAATGTCAGTATGCATTGTGTAAACACCGTAATGCTTGATATTACTGTATAGACGTGTTATATAAGAATATCTTATCGTAGAGATCGTGAGAGACTGTATTGGGGAGATATTCATTTTTAATTAATAAATTTCGTAGGTAATTTTTTTATTATTCTCTTAGACGTCACAATGTTTTTTTTAGCATTCTTACTATACACGTATCTGTATACCAAACGGTGATTTGAATATTACGGGAATATCGTTTCAGGTTCCGTATATGGTTCTTTGCCATAAAAATCCCGGCTCGCTAAAACACACTCGATTTCGCGTTTTTATCCCGGCTGTTTTACGCACAGCACGTACGGCGTATCGCGAAAGTGGAAGCTGACGGTTGGATGCGGCTCAATAATGACGGCTCTCGTAATGCAATAAAGTGCAACGTAAAAAGTGAGCGACATGCAGTGAGCCTGCATTGCCAGGAAACAACCGTGACTTTAATCGTATTACAGTACGGCCGAATGTTGGCCCATCGGCAGTCCATTCGTTTTAATGCTGGCGTAACGTCCGGACGATATGGCGGGAATTTCAAAAAGCCGATTTAATCAGGATCCCTCAGCCAATAGAAAATGAAGAGAGTGAATAAAAAAAATTTCTTATCTTATCATAACACCATTGATTAGACTTAAAATATAAATTATACTGTATATATATATATATATATATATTTTTTTTTTTTTTTTCATATGCACAAAAAATTGTCTTTCACTCAACAACCTTAAGAATTTTTATTAAATCTCTCTCTGGCTAATTTACCGCTGGAATGTTATTAGTGTTATTAAAATCTTCGGGATAACGCGCAAAGGATAAAATTAATATAGGCTAGGACGAGAACCAAGGTGAGGATGGTACCTGTTAGCCCACGTTGTACGAAAGGCAGAAGCAAAAGCAAGAGAAACTCGGCGTAGCCTTGGCGTGGGCAACGGTGTATCTTATCTCTTCGGATCCAGCAGACTCGGCTGTCGCCCCGCGCTGTTGGCTAAGTGTTAAATATGTTAATTTTTATCGCGCATTACTTTGCGGATAAACGCGCAATTTACATACTAAATTGTGCTATATTTTTTCCAGATAATAACAACCCGCAGGGAACCCGTGGAACTGGCGAACGGAATACGTGAGTCGTTTATCGGTCAGCGAAATCGGAAAACCTATCGACTTCCCATCAGGAATAACTGCGCGCAATAAAATGACGGAAGGTTGAAGGATTCACTGTAAAAAATGTTCAACCCACCCGTTAGAGAAGTAGAACGTTCTTTGGTTAACAAGGATGCGACGACTGTGCAATTTCCTTTAGGAGTGCAGGGTTGCATTTCCTTACCGGAAAAAGCATGTATATACGTACATATATATATTATACCCTCAACTTCTCAAGTCTTATTAAGATTTGAATTTCCATTTCGCGCGACCGTATCTGCTACCCTCCCCTACATAGGTACATACCTTCTTCCTCTCGAAGGTGGATATAAAATTTCTCCGTGCTCCAAAAGGTCGTTCAGCCTTCGCCTTTGTAAACTAGACAATTACCTTTGCTAACTATCAAAATGGCTGGCTCTGGTAACGTTACGAAAGCGAGAGACCGCGGGGAGATTAACGATCGTAAAGAACCTTCGCCTAGTAATTTGGCTGGCGTTGCAGGCCAGCCATAAATCCAAGTGCATATCTGCGTCGTAAAGCGCGGTGGAACTCGCGGGACGCCGAAGGGGGACGTTCGTGGCACTGTGGGAGGGGGGAAGGGAGGGGAGGGTTCCTGGGATGGTTTCGGCCCACCTCCGATCTCTCGTAAATTTATTATACGAAATATCGGCGGGCAGCGTCTCGTAAAGCAAACGCCTACCCTTACGAGGTGTATAGAGGCGTGTATGAGAATTTGCCACGTATGAATATACCTGTATGCACGTGTGTTTATATATATATATATATTTCGTGTATATACAGCTATACTTGCTCTTCATTAAAAAACGCGCATCTCTATCCCTTTTGGCTGGCGTCGGTTGGCGTCGGTTGGCGTCGGCTGGCAGTTATGTAAGCTAAGAGCTCCGCAGGTTAAGCCGCCATAATCCCCGAGCTGTCAAGCCGCCAACCGAGATGAAACAATTGCCGCCTACCGTCTGACAGGTGGGCGCATTTCTTTTACAGCTCAGCCACTCTTCCTCTCGCACGACTTTCCTTCCGTCTTTTTCCTTTCATCCTTGCCACCCATTCTCTCCTTCTTTGTGCTCCTTTGGTTTTAGGTGATTTCTTTTTTTTTCTTTTTTTTTTCTTGAGACTTCCTGCCAGATCCAAGAGGACCCATAGTCACGAGATTTATTCCTAGAAGAAACAGTGCCGACCCGGTGAGCTGTCTATTCGTAAATCGACTCTGGACCAAATGAGGCTGGGGACCTATATTACGCGATCTTCTGATCTGTACCAGACGTTACGTCACGTCCGGGTGGATGGGAAATGTGTATTGTGGCAGATATATGAATAATACATGAAATTCAATTCCTTTGGGATGGACCGAAAAATCTTTCTTCAAGGGTAAACGTACTAATTTGTTATCGAGTTATCATTGATATTGACTGATCGATCTTTTTCGCTGTCACTTTCAGTCATTTTCGGGTCGGTCTACATTATCTGGCAGATAATCGATAATGATGCTGAATGCTGGCTGGTAAAAGACATTTTTAGGTTAACAGGTTAGGTTAAAAATTAATAAATAATGTATGCTCTATTTGTTTTATCTGGATTGTGTATGTTGTATTTTTAGTTACTTATTTATGATGCTCCATGATGAATTTTATTTTCGTGTATTTATTGGTTATATGTTAATAAAATAGAAGAATCACCCTAGTTATCTGACACTTCGTATTTTCGCTCTGATCGATTGTATTTGCCAAAATACACACGCGCGAGATTCCCTTTTCTCTGTGACAGCGGATATGTAAAATAAAAATTGTATAGAACAAATATTTCTCTCGACCACAACTGTTGATCATTTTGATATGTATATTTTTTTTTTCAATTTTCACCCCGTTCATTTACCCCAGTTTTCCAATATTCTAGGAAAATTCTGCCATACAAAAATATTTATTCGTATGGAAATTGTATGCAGATATAAAATACTGTGCAGAAACGATATATAAATAATTGAGTATAATCACTGGGAAGCTGTAACAATATTATACAATAGGAACTGTCAACAATAAGTGACATCAGCCGATCAATCTTTTCTGTCATTGAGAAAATGTTATGCTTCGTGATTTTGCATGTTTGTCACAGCGTGGCTGTGTCAAGATTGACAACTGCTGGTAATGGAGCAGGAAATTGAATCGTTCGATCAACATGACGTATTGACAAGCAGCTATAACTGATTAGTATTGTAATTTCTTGCGGGCAAACGATACATGGAAACGAGTAGTTGTTAGAGAAAAAAGTAATTCGATTTGCATATACGAGTATAATTGAATTTAAAAAAAATACTTAGCGTAGGGAAAACAAAAATTTTCACTATCGCATTAATACTCCAATCACGTTTGTTAAAAGGTTTTAAATTAGTCGCAGCCCGCATGGCGCTATTTGTGCGAACGAGAATAACAGGCAGACGGTCACTGATTAATAACAGGCTGCTACCATGAGAATACATAATCGTCAGTTAGGAATCACCTTGCAAATGTTTTCTAAGCACCCACAGAAGAGAATAGATAATTATTAGAGACATCGTAGAAAATCAATAAATATCCTTATGAATTATTCATCCCCATTTATCCAGTGCTTGTTCAAATACAAGAAACTTTTACATATTGCGGGAAGTTAAACAATTTTATAAGAATATCACATAATTACACTGAGTATAAATAAACTTGTAGTTAAAAAAAAAAAGATGCGTATAAAAAAAAAATTTGCCCAACGCGGGGCTCGAACCCGCGACCCTGAGATTAACAGTCTTACGCTCTACTATTTTCATTGGCTTACTCTCAAAATATTATACGGTCTAAATTGTAAGGTTCGAACAAACTTAATAAAAAGCTAAAGAAAATAAAAATATAACTTCGGACGTTTGTCTTAGCTATAGGCACTCATATCCTAACTGGATAATATAAGCTGAGCCAAATCTGTTTCTATTATCAGCTTAATATGAAATAACCATAAACGTGCGTTTATGAAGAGTTATGCTCTGAAAAGAAAAGAGGATGAGTTTCATTAAAAAACCCAAAGCCCCAGTACAAAGGAACGAATATATACAATGTATATGGTCCAGTCAGGATTAAAGACAGTAAAAGCTAACTGCTGAGACGGTTTCTAGTGTTATGGAGTTATTGACTGTAGTTGTGACTTTACCCAAGTCACGTGCCTTTACCGACAGAGCTAGCCGGGCTATGGGACTACGAAGACCTCAGTGGTCTGTTACTCACTTCACGGTATATCTCATTGTAAAATCAGAAAAAAAAAACCAATTTATATTCCCTTCGTAGTAACATATTAAAAGAGCCCAGGCAAGAAACGCACATAATTTACGTAAATCTCGACGTAAATGCTCGTGAATTATTAATACGCAATAGTGGATTAAGATCGCCGTGACTGCAGTCCACTTGAGCTGCGCACACGAGAAAAGTGAAGTTAGCGAGAATAATCAGCAGATTATAAACAACGGTCGTTAGGAGCGTCAAGAAGGCGAATAGATGCGGGTCGTAAGCGCACCGGAAACGCGCTGGTATCGCTGCGGTTGATGCGTCCTATGTATCGCAGAGTCCAGGTATACCCGATACAACGCGCAGTGCCTATAGGCAGGGAAATGAAAGAGAGAAAGAGGAGAAGAGACGTAAGAGCACAGGATATAAATATGAGCGACAGAGTGAGATGAAGGAGCCACAGCTATTCAGACTGCACCGACGTTGCTGGAATTGCTGAGTGGTTGTTCAGCCGTATTACCTATAGACACATAAGTAAGTACAGAAGTGGAACCACGGACGACGCCATCAGCCATACAACGTCTGGTAGCTACTGTCCGTTGCTCAACCATTAATACAGATGTTGCTTTGCGCTATGTTCCCTGGCTGCGGCCGGGCAGGGTTTATCGCCACTTTGTATCTCGTCTCCGGTGTAGGTTGTTGCTGGTACCTGGTCGACTTCTACATATACATATATATATAGCTTGGCTACCAAGCTCTTTATAATAACCGGACTCGGTCTCGGGATAAATTTTATTACAGATTTGATCTCGCGATACTTTCGTAACGGACACCATTGCTGAAAGTTAATAGAAATATTTTCTTAGTATATCAGCTGAGCGATTCGCACTCAGACCCCGTCTATTACGGTGTGTCGGATGATGGTAATTTTTGGAAATTTTAGAGTGGACCAATTTCATGTTTTTTTTTTTTAGAATATTTTTTCGGATATGTTTTTTTTTTATTTCTTGTCTGCGTTTATATATAACTTTGTACATGATCTCACTGGATTTGGTATCGCGGACGGTGAAGACTGACGGAATGATAGGCAGAATGGCGGACGGCAAGTGTTCCGTAATCTAATGAACCCCTTTTCAGCAGCTGACAACGCGTGCCTAATCGCTGACAACGCTGACAGCCGGAGACGGCTGAACTCCGCCCGGTTGACTGAGCCTTTACGTTCCTTGTCGAGTGCGGCTCCCGGTTCCCGGCTCACGGCTCACGGTTGACCTACCCATGAAATTACGTAGTCAAGATGCGGCACGTTTTTTAGCTATGGAGATCTGATTTTTTTAACGGTTCAACTTAATTTGCGTATTTTTTTTTTTTGACAAAGCTTTGATTGCTTTTTCAGTATATTTTTGGAAAATCTTTTTTTCACAATTTACACGTGAAATTTCGTCGGACTCGGTGATTCTGTTTGAAATTGCTAAACTCAAAGAAATTTACACTCGACAAACGAGGTTTTAACCATGCGCGATCGTATTCAGGTTAAATACAGGTCGGACGCTGCATAAATTTGTATTTTAAACGGATTCCGTGTTGTTTGTCAATCACGGGAAATCCTCGACGTTGACTACGATGTTTCGCGAAACGTTGATTGCCATGCGGATCACGGCTTGTTTACGCGAGCAGCGTAATTAACAGATAGATCACGACCAATTGCCCTTTATAAATGCTATATGGTTAAAGTATAGTACCAATCGTATATAATTAAAAAAGAGAAAAAAAATTATAAATCTAACACTCCTTAACGATTAACGAACTCAGTGTCTCATTTGCGTTATATAAATTCATTAATGAGCCGAGTTCCTCGACAAGAATTATTTAAATTGCAATCTATTCAACGTGCCATGTTATCACGTTGTCGGTCCTCTGCACTGAGCAGGATAATTAACTGTCCCACAGCATCTGGACCACACACGTTGCCTCCGCAGCAGCGTTTTACCGCGCGTGTGCGACAGTCAATAATCTCATGGCGATTAAAGATGGAATAAAAATTTTTGTTATGGACAATGAAAAAGTTGATCTTGTCAAGTACTTCTGGAGGGATTATTCCATCTGAATAAAATATCTTTGCAATTGCTTTTACGATAGGAGTACGTTAGTGTCATTTTCTGTGGTAAACGGAGAAACGCTATAAATGTATACAATGGGGCCAAGCAAGCGTAGACGGCTCGGTATGGTAATGGGGCTTGGTTAAAGTCTAACGTTTATTCCTTATACATAAAATAACGATTAGGTTAACGTAAAAGCGCATTGTGTCGCGGCGAACTTCACGTTGCATCCATATCGTTAACAATGGTTATAATGTTATATGGAGAACGTGCCATTCGCTGCGTTCTTGAGGTTATGTAAAATAATTGGATTTTGATATTTAAATTTTTTAAGCGGCACGTATAGAATAATATTTTTATTGATTCCAGTGATTTATGCGGCATAGATAATTTTTTGTTTAATATCAATTTCCAAGTTTTACAAGAATTTTAATTATAGCTCTTGAACATTCTCAGAGTATAATTTAATTGTATTAAATTAACATGAAATACACATTACGCCGTACAAGCTGAAAGTATATTTTTGAATATTCGATAATTCAATTTTTTTTTTTCTACAAAAATTAACGACTCCTTTCCAATGAATTTTACAGTTCACTCGAATAACATTCGTATATCTCATACGAACTTCAGTAATAGTCATTAATCCTCCGACCTTTGATCTTTAATCGGCGGATAATCAAAGACCTCGTGGCAAATACTGCTAGCTGCTGGTAATATATATTAATGGAGTTTTGATTTAGTATCGGCGAGGATAATAAAAGAGATAAAAATTTAGAAAGAACAGGATTTTAAGAAATATGTACAGGCAGCGTATTTTCAAAAAACAGGAAATTATTTAAAACAATGGCGAAAAATATTTTTTAACGTAAAAGTCGAGAAATTTGGCAAGTTTGTTAAAACGGTTGAAAAATCTCATCAGGTTTCTGCTAAAGTACCAAAATGGCGTCGTACGGTTCCTTCAAATATTTCGCAATGACTGCCATTATTTATTTTAAACAGAATCACAGTGGCGCCACTGGCAATTTTTTTTTCCAACCCGAAGAAAGCGTCCTCGCCGATAATAACAGGGACTCCGTGTATAAGGAGTGCGGAAGAAAAAGAGAAAAATTGCACAAAGTGCCGAAGGTGTCGGAATGGCAGTAATTTATGTAAGTACTAGTTCTCTACGCGCTCGTGACGTGCTGGATCTAACTTTCGCTTTAATCACTTCGGTGATTAGATATATCTTGTGCACCGTATATATAATGGTTCGACTGTTGTTTATACAGACGATCATTACAGTAATTATGATAGTCGTGGGTAATTATTATAACGTCAATAAATTACAGAATAATGTTCCAACATTATAGGTTTCTCCAAGCGGTTGTATAATATATACGTGGGTATTAATGCAGCCGTTGGACGCCTGTCGACTCGACGATTACCTTAATACTCGGCAGTGCTCGTGCATTGTGTGCATTATTACGCCTGTCTCATATGTCTATACATAGTAGAAACAAGGGGAGTATGCCACTCATATAGTAAGTGTATAGTGTATCTGTATATTATATCTCTCATAGAATACATAATAATAGATAGAATTGAAATGTAATTACAACATCTTATATATGCATCTGAACATAGCCATGTAGAAATTTTAAGACAGTTGAATACAAATTTAAAGATGAATTTATACTCGATTAAAATATCGCTACGATCTTTAATTGACTATATAGAAAATTCATACTTGATTCTTGATAAAAAATTATTTAAAAATTCCTGAAATATATCTAAATTCTGGTGCTTTTGAAATAATAAGGTAATATTTAGAGGTTGGAATGATTCTACGTCAAAGGAATACAAGGGAGAAATAGCAAAATGGAATTTAGATTATGCAGTTTCCACAGAGTTCAGATCGAATACCGATAAGTTTGATGTGTTAGTTTGGTTTTGTTTAAAAAATTATTAAAAAATATTAATTCTCTTCGATATATAAAGTAACGAGAACGCGAGTATCGAAAAATGTGGGACAAAATAAAATTTGCAATTTATGATATTACCTGTACCAAAAAGACAAGTAAGCTTACCATCAGTTGTACGCAGCACAGTAAGCGGATGAGAAAATAATCTAGACTCCGTAGTTTATCCACAGACACAATATTCACAACTGTATAACCCCGAAGAATTAAGTCAGACCACCATGAAGGCCAAATACAAAGGGAATCGCTAGTCGCAACAGTGCTGCCATCTGTCAGCCTGCCGCAGTACGCTTTAATGTAGCGACACTGAGCCCATGCAAAAGGCTACAGTCAATGTCGCGTCGTATTGCAGCTATATCTAGTCACGTCGCCCGCAGTGCAAATGGATATTTTTCCTCGACCAGACATACTCGACAACTTCAGCCATGAACTTCAAGGTTCGTCCACAGTGTGTAAAGCATCCAAGAGAACTACGACTGTCGAGCATTAACACGACGGCGATGAAAATTGAATCCAAGCAGCTGCGAGGTAAGCATTAGTTAGCTCGAAGAGAAGAAGATCAATGGCTGCCTTACTTACGTCCCAGTGGCAACTCTCACGTGTTGACGGAGCATAAAGGTATAACCCGATTATTAAACGTGAGAGGATTAACCATGCGCTCAGCCACAGCTGCCCATTTTGGTTTCCACTCGAGCGACAACCAACAAGCAATTGGCTCTTAGAGAGTAAAGTGGCTCCAGGCAGCCATCTCCTACAGTACCTTAGGGATAATACACAATCGAATTGGCCAGTAACATTGGTCCGGTTCTCTCGACGCAGAACGGAAGATAACAAAGTATGTCTACCTACAGTACGATTCACGCCCATAGTTATTTACCTTGAATATTACTTGTGGGGAAACGCGATGCCCAAGGCATCTGCGATTAAATCCCTGAACTGGTGCTCCCTGTTTGGGAATCGAATTACTGCGAAATTTTCAGATGATCTCTCTTCCGGTTGGATTGACGCAATGCATCCCCTTGACAGGGTGCATCCTCCTTTCATTGTAACGAGTGACCATCCCCCATTCTATACGGTATATGCAACCCTTGCAATACATTAAACATTTTGCAACGCTATACGGATAGTCACCAGTGGCAACTAATTCAGTTGCAAATGACTTGATGATACATCACTGGCCGCTGTCATAATTTCACGATACGTCATCGCTCGTGCGTGACTCTGTTGCACATAAACAAGTTTAGATACGCTAGCGAACTAGATGCCTGAGCTTGATTGATTATCCGGACAGCTTGGTGTAACTTGAAAATCAATTTATTATTCAGGTATGACGTATATAGAACGTTCCATATGGTGATTATATAGTTGAAAGTATATATATATATATATATATGTACTTCACTTTTTACACTCGATCGATTCACCGGTAACGATATGCTACCATTTTCAAAACTCTTCACACAAGTATCGGTACGAGTGCGTACTCTAGTACTAAGTAGCTTAAATCGAGAAGATCGATATATACGTAACCTGCAATTTGATCCCACGGAAAACAATGTTGTTGGAAGACTCGTGTAATATACAAATGAAAAGTACTTGATGCCGAGTACTGGTGAATGAATTTGACGGTGACTAATTCGTCTGGGAATTCGAAACGGCAACCGATCGCTTGCACAGATAAGATTGATTAAAGTATAATCGAAGTTGACGTGTATATAGCATATATATACGTATGTGAAAAGGTCATAGCCGACTAGGTAAAAGCTCAAGTGCAAACAGGGAGATAGACTCGAAGTTTTTAGTGGCTACAAGGGGGTTCGAAGGGGGACAAAAGTCGTTAAGAGGATCTCGGAGTTTGTTGTTCCCCGTTCGGCCGATAGGTGGCTACCACTTTCTTGTATACGTACCCAAGTTATAACCCCGTCGACATTCCCACGATTACAGCCTGTGGTTTTGCTTTACATAAAATAACCAGGATCAGCGATTTCCAAGAGCCATAGGCACTCATCTCGCGTGGCGTATACCCACTCCTCCCCTTTCTGCCTCCTCGTTCTGCCATTATCGATAGCTATACGCTCGAGCTGAGCCGCCGCATTTATGCATGGCCGCGTACATAATAGGCTCCTTTTCACCACAGGTCTTATTAAAATTTTTGATCAGCTGGAGGTGAACGGTATGCAAATTGGCTCGAAAGAGCTTGGAGCGAGTAAGGTCGATGGGGTGAGGTTACGGCGAACCGTGCCGAACCAACCCCACGAAGTAGTTCTCAATGCAGTAATCGAGTGGCGTGGGGTCGCGACTTTCGCGGTTATAATTTCAATGCCGAAGTCCCGGAGAATTTTCGTAGCATTGTTAGCACGGGCGGAAGAGAAAAATTTACAGTGCCGACTCTGATTGATATGAGTTAGAAATATTGCGTTATGAAAAATTCATACCGGAAGTGGCTTGTCGGAGAAGATTTTTTTAACTTTTTTTTTTGCCTTTAATTAAATTAAAATCGATTCCCATAATTCTTTTTTGAATTGATAATCGTGGTTAAGACATTGTTTTTGCTTTTTTGACGTTATCTTGCTGTTTGGATTGTACGTTAAGAAAAATGTATTTTCAGGTAATTAATTTAATGAAGGTAATTTACGTTTATATTGTAGGCACTGGCTAAGACGTGTCGGTATACATTAACTTGGTACCTCTTGGCTAATAACAACTTTCGCAATAATTTGATTTGGACTTCCCATAATGAGTTCTGCGTGCGCGTAATTATACGTCTGCGCGGAATCATTACGCCCTGTGGATTTAATGACGATGTTTAAAGTGAAAAAGAAAAAGAATTTCCGACGCCGAGGATAGAAATCAATTTATAAACGTCGGGTAACCGCGATAAATGATCCATACGAATAATTAGCTTTTTGTACCTATATACAATATGCAAGTACTTTCAGCACGAGTCATTTGATACGAATACATGACTGCCATTTGCTAAACCTTACCATAATAAATCCCTGAGGCATTCGAGAAACGTGCTACGCGTTGTTTCAAAAAAAAAAAAAAAAAAAAAAAAAAAAAAAAAAAAAAAAAAAAAAAAAAAAAAAAAAAAAAAAAAAAAAAAAAAAAAAAAAAAAAAAAAAAAAAAAAAAAAAAAAAAAAAAAAAAAAAAGACCAATAATTCTCGAGAAATTATTCTACACGGGCGTACCAGTGTGCTCGCGTGTCGTTTAATAAAGCGAAACAAAGTATGGGAGTGAAAAAAATGTAAAAATTTATCTCATTGTTCTAATCCTCCAACACTCCGGTCCAGCGCGATCATTCATCTTCGTGTGTTCCATTATGCATTAGAAACCACAGCGTTCCGGTTCGCATTAGTCCATTCAACGCCAAACTGGATACAATACGAGGTAGGAACACAGTGCATCGGTAGGGTCGTTACCAATCTATACAGAGTGCATATACCTGGATAAGTAAAATCCCTAGAGCCAGCACGTAGGTACTCATTGGTTTACTACAGGAATGCCCTTAATGACGTAATGTATAACGGGTGTTGCGAAACGTCTGTATAAGTTCTGGGAACTGATTAGACATTGTTACTTCGTAATATCAGTGTATCATTGTGTTTACGTGCTTGGGTTATCTGTCCTAGGGATATATTTAGTAAAGGATTCCGTCGAGTCCAGGGATATTTGAATTTACTAAGAGTAAATATTTTTATTGGTTGTTATGGGAATATTAAAATTTTAATATCCCATTTTTGTTTATCGATTAATAATAATTTTTTGTATTCCCCTACACCTGGGTGGCTCCTTGTATATTTAAATATATATTACTCAATCCTTCAGTAATTACCTCTTGCGAAACTCATCACGGCCTCCTTTTTTTAGTCGCGACTCGACGTCGTGTCCAGGAGAGAATAACCATGCGTTATAGTCTACACGGCTTAAGTTCCCTTGAATCTTGCCGAATCCTTTGCTCGCAAACCGCAAATGGCCGGGCGAGTAAGAATCGTGGCCGCAAGGAACGAGACGGAATGGCTCCATCAATTCGGGAAGCTAATTGTAGAGGCTGCCTCGCGGCGACCTCGCGTCTTGTTCCCCTGACTTTTACAACCAGCCTTAAATTCAGCCCCACAAATTACTTGCAAAACACGTCGAGAGGGATTTTTACTCCTTTTTCTCATTTCTTTTGGTCTTCGAGTTTTGCTTTGCTCTTTTTACTCTTTAACTTCACCCGTATATATATCCACGTATACGCGCATTCGTACACAGAAAGATATCCGATGGGAAGGAGGCTGTAAATCCTCGTTGAAACGTTTTACCCAAGATCGGCTGGATGTTCTACACGGATTCTTGAGATGACTTCGCCTCCTGCTCTACGGGACTCTTCGTTACGTAGTTTTTTCTCTCATCACTTTGTTACCCGAATCTGCTCCCCATTGCAAGAATATATTTTTAACATCCTCCTAAACAGCGAATACCTCGCTCCTTGCTGTACGTTATTTAGTCTGGTGACTTTTAGAAAGAATTTTAAAGTAGTACATTTTACGTAGTTAAAGTATGAGATTTTTTACAAAAAAAAATTTATTTTCCCATTATACCTAATTCGCATCACCGATACTCATACACGGTATATACGAAAAATTTTGGGTATAATAATTTTCAAAAAAAAAATTATCACGGTAAAACGTACGAGTCGCCAAGGAATCTGGTACAGTATAAATTGGAAGACTCTTGTAGGACATTCTTTGGATTTTGTAAAATCCAAAGGCACGTCCCGGTAATATCCGTCTAGCCAATCAGGTCTGGAAGCTCTAACAGCGAGAGGACCATTTGTAGCCTCTTATCCGTCCTCTATCAACCGTTTAGCCGAAGATTTATTCGGTAAGAGAGCGCTTACACCGGAATCTGACAAGCTCATCTTTATAGTAGACTCGGGGATGCTGCTTAAACTTGGGTTTCCAGCGTATCAAGACGAACGAGCGTCGGGCGTTCACGAGCGCTGGGGTCGGGGGCCACCTTGGCGCTACACGGAATTAATTTAATCGTTAAGCCGGCATCTAATTAACCGGCTCGGCCGAGGGGGCTGCCAACAGTTAGGTCGGCAATAAAACAAACACTTTACCGGCGGGACCGGTCCCGCTGAAATAATTACCCGATCTAATGAAACACATCGAGTGTTTACGAGCTGCTTTAATGCCTCACCACTCACTTCCCCGATCCATCCCTTTTATTTTATTGCTTTTCTACCTTTTATCCACTTCTCCGCGAGAATGAATGTCGAACTCGGTCGAATTTATTTTTTTAATTTTTTTTTTTTTTTTTGAAATTTTTTCTCATTTACTTTACACATGGAACGTGTTGTGTATATTTGTGCATACCGAAGACAGAGAGATACTTGTATATCCATGTAACTTAGCAACACGAAGAAACTGATTGTCGGGAATGAAGTCATCCGCGTAGAAACTTAATCGATCGTAAAAACCTTTTACAGATTTTTCACGGAAGAATTGATATCGATGTCGGAGTTCTGTCAGACGTTAA